GCGAAATGTTGTGGAGGTAGTAAAGGTTTCCCTGCAATATGTAAGTATATTTGGGTACAAATGCACATAAATATAGTTACACAAATTGTCATACGTGTTTGCTTAAGCCATTATTTACTCGCAGTGAAAAGTAGAGGCGCCATTAGTACACTAAGAGAAAACACCATTAGTGTCCGGGCCCCAAGACTGTTCAACAGCCTCCCACCATGCATAAGTGGAAATACCAGTAGACCCCTGACTGCCTTCAAGAGGGAGCTGGACAGATACTTTAAGTTGGTGCCGGATCAGCCTGGCTGTGGTTCGTACGTTGGACTACGTGCGGCCAGCAGTAACAGCCTAGTTGATCAGGCCCTGATCCACCGGGAGGCCTAGTCGTGAACCGGGCCATGGGGGCGTTGATCCCCGGAATACCCTCCAGGTAGACTCCAGGTACTGTATCTCCTTGGTAGGGTCATGGCTCTAGTGGTAGCGCCTTCAGCTCACACCAGAAGAATCTGGGATCGATCCCTGCGAAAGAAAGTTGGATATCTTTTATTGCATCTGTTGCTGTCTCTGCTCACCTAGAAGTAAGTACGTACCTGGATATAGCTGATTTTTGTGGTTGGCATCCTGGCACAGAGGATCCAAAGAACCTCGATGGAAATAAGCTAGAAATAGTCTCTTTAGTGGGTTATTCTGGATTACTAATCCTCGTGGTGAATAAATCCGAATAAAATCTTATGTATCTTAATTAACACTTTGCCGCTGGTGAATACTTGGTAGCCATTGCAACTGTCATAGTATAAATTACCTACTATAACCCAAAAATGCCTTATCAGTATCTTTATTTGAAACAAACTGTACTGTAGTAGGCTCGCCGGTCTTGCCCCGGCCCGGCTCCTTTCCAGATGGTGACCCTGCGTTGGCCCACCGGGTGGGGGGAATTTGAAACAAAGATGTCTCGGTATTGCACTTGTGTCTGCTTACTAGTTAATTAAGTTTCGTTTTTTTTTTTTACGTTTGGAACCAGTGATGTGGGAAATTATTGGGATGAGTGAGGACGTGTCGAGTGTGCTCTCTACGGACTGAACCAAGATGCCCTCCATCGATCAACTTTACCAACAGCTTAAGGAAGAATTGAGGATGGCGAAGTTGGAGATTCGGCGACTGACCGAGGAAAACAAGAAGATTCGTAGTAGTCCTGTTTTGAGTCCTCAGGTCAAGAAGGGAAACTGGTCAGTGGCTGGACAGCATGGAACGAAGTTGACGATCAAGAAGAAGAATGGAAAGGTTGAAACGATGAAGAAGAAAGAGACTGCTGTGGAAACTGTTGTGGAAACATCTAATGCATTCTCCATGCTACCCGACGAATGTGAGTCGACTACTGGGAACGTCACGAGAACGACACCAATGAAGGTAAGAATATTGTTGTTGTTGGGGATAGCCAAGTTAGGTACATGGATAGGGCGTTTTGCTTGAAGGGCAGGAGCAGGAGACAGAGGGTTTGCTTTCCTGGGGCTGGGATGGAGGATATTGTTAGCCGTCTGGATGACATCATGAGAGGTAATGGGAGCAATCCTATTATCTGTCTCAGTGCTGGAGGCAATGATGTTGGCGGGCATAGGAGTGAGGACCTGATTAGCAGGTATAGGTCAGCAATAGAAATAATTAGGAGGAAGGGTGGGCACCCTGTCATATGTGGTATTTTGTCAAGGAGAGGAGTTGGAAATGAATGGCTGTCCAGGGCAATTGGTGTCAATTGCTGGCTGGACAAATACTGTAAGGAAAATGCGGTAACATTAATTGACAACTGGGACCTCTTCTATGGCAGAAATGACATGTATACCAGGGATGGGGTTCACTTATCTAGGTCTGGGGTGGGGGCACTGGCAACTGCAGTGGAGGGAGCTGTTAGGACTTTAAACTAGGAATAGTTAGTGGTATGGGTTTTGGCAGGAAAACAGTGAAGTCCCAGTGTAGTAATATTATGAGTTCTAGGGGAACTAGTATTAAGCAGAACGAGGTAGATATTGAAAAGCCAGTGACACTAGGTGATAAGGACAGTAATAGGTTTAGTAGAAAAATAGAAATGAGCAGGAAGGGTAAAGAGAAAGGAGTCTTTCAGTGTATATTATACTAATCGCCGTAGTGCTAGGAATAAGATGGACGAGTTGAGATTAGTTGCTAGTGCAGGTAACTTTGATGTATTTGCCATAACTGAGACGTGGTTTAATTCAAAAAATCGGGACATGCCTGCGGAATGTCACATTCAGGGTTTTAAATTGCTCCGAGTAGATAGAAGTATCGGGAATGGGGGTGGGGTGGCATTGTATGTCCGAGATTGCTTGAACTGTTGCATAATAACGGGTATTAAGTCTGAAGTAACACATACAGAGTCTGTTTTTATAGAATTTTCAGAGGGGCATGAAAAATTGATTTTAGGTGTGATATACCGTCCCCCAAACTTAGATAGGGACCAAGGGAGACTACTATGGGAGAAAATTGTTAAGGCCACAAGGCACGATAATATAGTAATCTCAACCTCTCTGGCGTTGCAGGGAATTCAGGTGGAATCTTGCCACTAATGATATATCCTACTGGGATCTGTACAGTTCCGTCGTGTGGCCAGGAAGTCATCTATCTGACCGGTTCCCACCAGGATACCTACATTTCTGACTTTCACTGGTAATTCCATGGTCTGCCAGCTTTACACCAAGGTCCTTTAATCGCTTGGCTGCTGCAGCAAGACCTCTGGTCGTAATTGCCGTGGATAGTGTCTTTACTACCAAGGCTGTAAGGCATTTGTGATGCCCACCTAATTTAACTGACATCTACATCATAAGTCTTGGGTGCGGCCTGACTTATAGCTCCTCCCAATGTCATAGTAACTCTGCCGGTGTCCAACTTTAACTCAGCCACCATCTTCTCTGTTATCATGGATATCTGTGCTCCCGCGTCAAAGAATAATCAGGTTGTTTCGGACCTTTTCCCGTTCACAACCCCTGTCATGACTGTATCTAGGGCAGCACCTCCGTAACTCTCACTCGGATTAGAGACTTCACCCACTAATCACGTTGGCTACCACTTCAGGCTCGGACTCGCTTTCTATCTCACCCTGAGAAACGTCCCTACTAGTACTACTGCTTTGTACTGGACTGAAGAAGCCACTGTGTGGCGAAACGTTTCCTTAATAAAGATTCCCATATGTTGCATAAGTGTCTCAATCTTCAACTACAGGCCTGTTAGTATACTCAGTGTGATGTCCGCAATTCTAGAGAAGGCTGTATACCGTCAAGTAGTTAAGTATCTTAATGACTAAAATGTTCTTCATAGTTACCAGTCAGGTTTTAGATCTCATTCAACCGGCACCTCCCTAATTAATTTGATGGACTATCTGAGAACTGAAATGTCGCTAGGGAATTTCATAGGAATGGTAACCTTAGCCTTGCAAACGACCTTCGATATAGTCAACCACAATATAATATGTGAGAAACTACAGGCTATTGGCATGAGTACCTTAGAATGGTTTATGTCCTACCTGAGCAACAGGAACCAAGTTGTCAAGATCAACAATACAGAATCAGTACCCATGCCGATAACACGTGGGGTTCCTCGAGGTAGTATCCTGGGCCCTTTGCTGGTCTTGTGCTATGTGAATGACATGCCTATCAAACTAATGCAAGCTTCTACTGTACGCAGATGATAGCGCTCTGTTAGTATCAGGTAAAAACCCACAAGATATTGCTAATGTACTATCACTAGAACTAGTCATGTAGCAAATGGTTGGCAGACTGTCTACCGTGGACAACAAGTATCACTACACCTCGGGAAAACGGAAGCCATACTCTTTGGCACGAAACTTAAATTGACAAGGTAAATAATTTTAATGTCCAGTGCAATGGGGAACCTATTATTACAGTAAATTCAGTTAAATGTATGGGAATCCCCTTTGACCCAAGCATGTCAGGAGAACTGATAGGGGACAATGTTGTAAAGAAAGCGAATGACAGACTAAAGTTTCTCTACAGACAGGCGCAGTGTCTACCAACTGAGGTTCGCTGGACCCTATGTCTAGCTCTCATACAATGTATTATAGACTAATGTTGCTATTCATGGTACTCTGCCTTAAAAAAAAAATTGAAAAATAGGCTACAAATCAGCCAGAAATAAATGATGAGATTCATTCTGGACCTTGGTCCAAGAGAGCATGTAGGCCAGAATGAATTACAATAACTGGACATGCTGAATGTTGAAGACAGAGTGAATCAACTAAATTATTATTATAATCAAAAAGAAGCGCTAAGCCACAAGGGCTATACAGACCATGAATCAACTAAAGCTAAATACGTTTATAAAATTGCTCACACCCAGCGTCCCCAAGATCTTTATGCCAATTTTGTTAAGGCCGAGAACCAATGCAATTACAGAACTTGGGGAAGGGAGAACAACAGTTTTGCAATATCTATAGTCAGTGGTCAGGCTTCAAAGGCATTTTTCTATTCAGCAATAAAAGAGTGGAATAGACTGCACATGTCAAAGCCCTTCATAGCATGAGCCAGTTCAAGAAGTGAGCCAAAATGTACCTCATGAATAAGGCTACAGAAAGGGAGGAGAGAGATTTCTTGTATGAAAAAAAACTAATTTTACCTCTCCTCTGTACTTCTTTTATTGTAACTGCTTTTATATAGTTAAGATACTTACCTGTTTTTAACTTTTAAATATAAATAATTATCACAAGGACCCTAATGGAAATAAGTCACTGTCTGAAATTTTTGAGTTATTCCAGGTTCTCTATACATATATTGATTATCATATATAGTAGCATAACTGTGTACCTGACCCCTCAAGGGAGGTTCCTTGAAGCTGGTGAGGGGCTCTTGATCAAGGGAATTGGATCTGTGCTCCCTAAATTAAGCCTGAATACCTTCCATCCCTCCCCTCCTCCACAGGCACTGTCTAATCCTATAGGTTTAGCGCTCTCCCATGATTATGAATATAATAATAAATTACAGTAGCAGCAAGAATATTCACCAATGGGTTATTTTAACCAAGTTGTAAATACAACTTTGTTTTGATGGTTTGTTGTGGTTGACTCAGCTGTTGTGTACAGCATCACAGCTGATCAACAGCAACTAATACCACGGAAAATCATTATTGTGGCTAAATATCTTTACTGAGGGATGAAATTACTGTGCATTTTAGTAGTAAAATTGATTGCGAGGTGAGTAGGACTTTAGTTATAGCCATTGTTTAGTGAGATGGAAATAAGTAAAGAACCCCAATGGAAATAAAGTCACACTGACTTTTTTGGGTTATCTTAGGGACTTTACACATATGCTGCTATGTATGATAATCTGTGTAACTGTATTTGTGTATACCTCAATAAACTTAATTACTTATATGTGGGTTTATCTGGGGTATGTCAGAAAAGTCACTTGTCTGGCTTTTTGGGTTTTCCGAGGTAATTTACACTTATGTATGATAATTGTATTTAAGTGTAGCTGTATCTAATGTAAAACATACTAGGTTGATCTATTGAAATTATTATTATATAATGGGTAAGCGCTAAACCCGGAGATTAAATTAAGCGCCTTGGGGTGGGGTGTGAAGGTCACTTGTCAGGCTTATTTCGAGGAATTGGACACAGATCTAATTCCTAAATTAAGAGCCCTCACCAACATCAAGAACCTTACCTTGAGGGGTGATCATTGAAAGTTCATCCATAGAAGTACTAGGGGAAGAGAGCACAACTTTGTAGTACCCACAGTCAGTGTCGAGGCATTTTGGGCTTTTGCCCGAAATGCCTGGGCATGATAGTGGCTATCTTTGTACTTAGCAAATCAAAATTGTAATTACACATTGTAACCTTTACAAAGAAATAAATTATTATTATTATTATTATTTATATTATTTATTTTATTATTACTATTATTATTTTGTATTATTACCTTTTATTGTACAGCAATAAAGAAATGTAACAGACTGCCTGCATTAACCAGTTCAAGAAAAGAGCCAAAAGTTACCCAGTGAATGTAGTGACAGAATTATTTTTTATTTTTTTTTTAGATAACACATATGTGAAATGTAAATAACTCTTTTTACCTTATTGCTAGTATATCTCCTTTATAGTAAAATAAGTTACTTTGACTTTTTTTTTAGGTTATCCTAGGTTCTCTACACATATGCTGCTGTCTGTGACAATCTATGTAACTGTATTTGTGTTATTATTATTAAAATCAAGGGGGAAGCGCTAAACCCAAAGGATTATACAGCTGTATTTGTGCATACCTGAATATACTTACCTACTTTTGTCAGATAAGTCACTTTTTCTGGCTTTTTGGGTTTTCCGAGGTAGTTTACACTTTGTTTGATATTTGTACTTAAGTGTACCTGTGCATAAATAAACTTATTAGGTTGCTCATTGAAAGGTCATCAATAGAAGTCATTTTTGTTGTTTAACTAATGACATTTATCGTAGTTCAGTAGGTTGTTCTTTAAAAGGTCATCATAACTATCGAGTTATCCTCAGTCTAATTTGTGTGATGTATCATGCATGGTATGTACAAAAGACAATAATTAAAATTTGCCTAGCTTGGCATGTGGGTTTAGCTCATAGCTGGTGTCTCAGCAGGTATCTCATAGTTTAATAGGTGTCTCATAGCACAGCAGGTGTCATATATCAGCAGATGTCTCACAGCTCAGCAGGTGTATCATATATCAGCAGCTGTCTCATAGCTCAGCAGGTGTCTCAGCTTAGCAGGTGTCTCAGCTCAGCAGGTGCCTCGTAACCTGGGGGTGGGTTAGCTACCCAGGATAACCCAAGAAAGTCAGTGCATCATTGAGGACTGTGTTTTATTTCCATTGGGATCTTCAATCTTGTTCCCCAGGATGCCACCCCAGTAGGTACTTATGTGTACCTGTGCTTAAATAAACTTACCCACACTAGCTGACTAACACCCAGGTACCTACTTTCTGCTAGGTGAACAGTGACAGCAGGTGTAAGGAAACATGCCCAATGTTCCACTCATACCCAATGTTTCCACTCGTGTGAGGGAAGTGCATAGCTCATCTGGCATGTCGTAGCTAAGTAGGTGTTTTGTAGCTCAGCAGGCTTCTCGTATCTCTGTAGGTGTCTTGTAGCTCAGTACACACCTTGTATCTTACCCTTGTTCACCTAGCAGTAAGTAGGTACCATATTTCATGGCTTATTAGACACATTTTTTCCATAAAATATTTCAAAAAACTACCCTGTGTCCTATAAACTGAAGGTCAGTGACAGGAGGTATAAGTTTGGGGTGTGGAGCGGGCTGTAGCTCTCCCAGTTACATCCAATGCCGATCTATTGAAACTAAAACAAGTCTTATAAGCCACAAAATATGGTATGTACCTAGGTGTTAGTAGACCATTGTAGTTTGCTTCCTGAAGGATGGTCAAAAGCTATACAGCCTCTCCTCACTTAGTGACGTACTCGTTTACTGATGCCTTGGACCTATGACGGGCTCTCTGACCAGTATGCAAACCTAAATAATGTATATTAGAGTTGATTTCCTCTATTCTGTTTATTACAATATATAGTACACTACTGTATAAACATTTAAGAATATACCAGAAATGTTATAAATGGTGCAAAGGTGACATTGAAACAATATCAAAGATGGCTGACACAAACTCACTACCATTATAGTATACTCCTCACTTAACAACGAATTTGTTTACTGACGTGGTCTTAGAAACGGAATTCCATCGTTAAGCGAGGAGAGGCTGTAACAAACATCAGAGTAATAAGTTTTATTCATGTACAAGTACACATAATACAGTTACATTGATTATCATGCAATATGATTTTGATACGTATTAGTGTTTTTGATATTATAGTCTAGGGTGATTGCAGTTAATGATTGTCCTGCAGTCAGTTGTCCAAAACCCTAATACAGTACAATACAGTAGATAAAATCAGAATCTGAAACCACTCTTCCTTCCCCTCAGCACATTTGTCAACACTTCTCAATGTAAAAGAAAAAGTTTTTTCTGTGTGTATATGCAGAGGAAAAAAATTAATTAATCTAGAATAATGAATTAATAATAATAATAATAATAATAATAATAATAATAATAATAATAATGATACTGTAAAAATAATGTGACATTAAATTATGACTTATATAATACTATGACTAATTATGACTTACAATATTTCCATTAAGAGAGATGGAGGGGAAGGGAGGGAGAGGGGGAAGAGAGATATCAAAGCATGCTTGTAATAGTTCTTTCTTTATATGTCCAGTCATGTCATCAATACAGAAGGCTAAGTCCATTTTATTGAGCATTTGCCCATGTTTGGTAGTCTGTTTATTTGAAACTTTCAACATAATGAATTTTTCTTGAAGTGGACACCTTTCCCCTACTAGTCCATTTTATAGGTTTCACTGTATTACCTTATTTTTGTGATATTATTTATGGGTGCCTGCAATGCACTGCATGCTAGTGGCTTTCTTTTATGCTTAACAATATGTTTTTACATGTAAAATACATTTTGTATACTGCAGAAAAGAAATACAGTTGTATTGTATTATATATTGGCATTATTTGCAGTGAGACACAGGAGGGTCAGCAATTCTTTGCCTGGGAAGTGGGTAGAGATGCCCTGGGGAATCAGCTGACCAATGGAACTTGATCTGGAAACATCCCACACATGCTGATTATAGATTGCTGCATGGAAAGTATTTTTGGAGAGATTCCAATAAATTTTCTGCATTACATGTCACTGGGACCTCAGGTGAGGTCCAGGGTAGAAACCTATAGAAAGCGACAAACAATACAGTTGATTGCTGGACAAATATTGTACTGTTGAGTGACAGTGATCTGAAAATTGAATGATCCAAATAGTGCAGTGCAGAGCAGCATTCAGTGGACAGTGAGATACAAAAAGTAAAGAAGTGATGACTTTACAGCCTCTCCTCACTTAGCAATGTACTCGTTTACTGATGCCTCAGACTTACGATGGGCTCTCTGACCAGTGTTCATACCTAAAGAATGTATGTTAGAGCCGATTTCCTCTATTCAATATACAATACACTACTGTATAAACATTTAAAAATATACCAGAAATGTTATAAATGGTGCAAAGGTGACATTAAAACAATATCAAAGATGGTTGACACAAATTCACTACCATTATAGTATACTCCTCACTTAGTGATGAATTCGTTTAACGATGTGATCTTAGGAACGGAACTCCAGTGTTAAGTGAGGAGAGGTTGTATATACAATGGTCATTGTGTTTGAAGAAAACTGTACAGGATTTCAGATGCACATAAGTGCATCCAGCATGAGCAATACAAAACGGGCAAAGGTAAGTCTTATATCCTTACATGAAGCAGATGGAATCCCTTCAAGGAGGGTGCTAAGATGTCAGCAAAGAGCTCTTGACCCCCAATAAAATGGAGCTGCTGCTACTACTCCCTTTAATGGAATCTGATTGCTTTCCATTCCCCAGGTGCTGTATGATCTTTATGGGTTTAGCACTCCCTCATTGATGTAATTAATGAATAATAATCAAATAGAGAGACTGCAGTCATGTTAGGTCATGTTAGAGGTTACCAAACAAGCAACTAGTGAGACAGTCATGGGTGGACTTACACCTAAACTACTGGTAAGATCACATTTCACTTATTGAAACATGAAATGGTGTTGAAACAGTGATTTTACCAGTCTAAAATAAAATCTAACATCATAAAAATTCTTCCAACAGCATTGAGAACTACAGTCAAATATACAGCTCTCAAAAGAAAAGGAACATAGGGGAGGCTGTGTGCTCTAGGACTGAAATTTCAAGATAATTAATGTACGTTGTATATCAGTGACTACATGAAGTCCCACATATATGGTCAGGCTGGATAGTATATTACGTGGTTGGAAGGCATGTGGTCAGATGGGCAGGTGGAATGGCAGGTGGCTAATCAGGTGGGTGGGGGTTTGGTCAGGCAGGCAGGCAAGCAAGTAGTTGGGCAACCAAGTGTGTAGTTTGGCTAGTGGGCAGGAGTATTGGGTGAGCTTTGTCAAGCGAGTGGGTGCCTAGTCAAGCTGCTAGGCATGTGGTTTGACTGATGGATATATTGTCCAGTAGTGGACAGACAGTGTGTAGTGTAGCTTTGACACTTACCTGGCCATGTTAGCCTTGGACATATACTGGACATCACTGCTTTCCACTTCCCAAACCACAGGTCTGCCCTCTATTCCTCACAACACTCAATATAAGCCTTCCCTGCATCCTTCCATCCTCCCTCCATTTCTTCATTCTTTCATTCCACCCTCTCTCTTCTTCCCACACACTCTCTCTACTTCCCACACACTCTCTCTTCTTTCCATCCTCTCTCATTTCTTCCCATTTGCTCTCCTTTCTGTGTCTCCCTACTTTTATTTATTATTTCCTCACTCCATCATTCTCTTTCTATCTTCCCCCCTTGCCTTTGTCTTGTGCTACCATCCTACCTCCATCTCTCTGTCCCTTGCTGCCATCCATTCTCTCTCCCTCTCTGATTTCTTCCTTTCATCCATCCATCAACCTTTTCTTCCTCTATTCATACTTTATCCTTACATTGCAGTACCTTTATTGAAGTATTTTAATTGTTAATCCATTATCATAAGTCAATTACTGCCATAGACTATTCACAAATCACATAAAATGTGCATATTAGAAAAATGATGACATTTATTGAAAAAATCCGTAATTATTCTATTAAATATTTCAAGTTAATACCCTTGTAAAAAGGTATTGCTTACCCACAAGAGGCCAAATCTTTCATATGGGGTCCCTTCTGCAAAAGATGAATGCTAGTAAATGAGGATATGGTGAATACAGATATATTGGTGGCCCGGTGGCCTGGTGGCTAAAGCTCCCGCTTCACACACGGAGGGCCCGGGTTCGATTCCCGGCGGGTGGAAACATTTCGACACGTTTCTTTACACCTGTTGTCCTGTTCACCTAGCAGCAAATAGGTACCCGGGTGTTAGTCGACTGGTGTGGGTGGCATCCTGGGGGACAAGATTAAGGACCCCAATGGAAATAAGTTAGACAGTCCTCGATGACGCACTGACTTTCTTGGGTTATCCTGGGTGGCTAACCCTCCGGGGTTAAAAATCCGAACGAAATCTTATCTTATCTTATCTTGGCCTAATTCTGTTCTGCTGTATGAATGATGTCAATGTGTTCAAGATTTTCATGTATGCCTCACTGCTTAGGAACTGAACCTTTAAGCATTCTATATTCATATAAATGCTCAAACTACTGAGCTAAAGGCTTTCACAACTGAAATTATATAAAATATGGATGTGTAATGCTATAGGTTCAAAACCATGATCGCCATCAAGGAAGGAGTGTGTCTATGAACCTGGCTTATGGATGCATCCATAAGCTAGGCCCATACACTCCTCTTTTGTTGGAGTTCATAGGTTCAGACTTACAGCATTACACAAACACATTTTATTGAAATCATATAATATGTTTAGCATTTGGAAATAAGATTAGGATTTATTTTTATTGCCAACTTGATAAAAAATATAAGTGTGTTTACAACTCTGACCATCCAGCATGCTATGCATCCTCAGGAATGTGATGGGCTTCATAAAAATTTACTCATTCCTTCTTGTTCCATGATTTATATCAACATTTAAAACCAGTTAGTATGCCTCAGTAATGTCATTCTAAGGAGGAATGGTTCCCTGATGCTAATAAAGAGCTCCTGATCTAGAGATTTGGAACTACCTTTTCCTGCCCCTAATCAGTACTAAAAGCTTGGCATTCTGGCAGGCATTGTATTATCCCTATGCATTTAGTACTGCACTTTCTTTGAAATACATTATTACAATCGGAACTAAGCACTAAACCCACAAGGGTCATACAGCACTGACCTTTGAAGCACAGTATTAAAGTAATTCAAGGAGACCTTGATTTAACAGGCTAATTGGGTGAGAGGATGTTTGATAATGCTGATTATTCATTAAATATGAAGGATGAGATTGTTTTTCCAAGATCCTAAGAATAACTGATAATTGTGGATTTAATATACTTTGTCTGTTAAATCCAAAATAAATTTACCCAGAAAACAATAAGATGAACAGTTAATTCTGAATTTAACATTGTTTTCAGGCTTCATCCTGACATGTCTGTTAAACCCAGGATCTATTGAATTGCAGTGTATTAAATTGGGGTTGTACTATACTGCAGTTGGTTATCTCTTGATACTGTATATTAGTTTAGAGGGTAGTGATTCTTGGTTATTATAAGTCCTTGTATATTTTTCATTATAAATTTAGCTGCTTTAGGTGACTCATAGTGATCCTTGATATTATGCCACATTTTGGTAATAATGTTATTTCTTTGCTTTGTCTTTATCAAATGGATTCATCTTTGGTATGTTTGTTCTGTATGGGTGTAGTGAGTTCCTATGTCTGGTACACTTTGTGACTTCTATTTTTTGAATGTTTACTTGTGTTCCAAGTGTTGAGTTGCTAACCCGTTGCTCCTTGGCCCAGTAGAGCCACATCAACACTCTTCACGCCAAGCCCACTGCCATGTGGTGGGCAAAGAGGTGGGTGGAAATGTAACCACACTGAAGGGTCCTACAATCAATGAACTGTATGGTGTTACACAACTTAGTAGTCTAATGGAACAACAAGTCTAGACATCTAAACACTATCTGAAGCATTCTTATTAACTTAAGTGAGATTTTGAGCATTTTGTTGAGATTGGCTGAAGGCAAACTAAATTATGGATAATTGTCACAGCCAAAAGCTTGCTTGATGTACCGTATACATAGCATGATGACTTCAACACTACTCTCTGAGCAATTATTGGGAAATTATAAGTCTAGCTGACAAGCACCTTCAGTCCAGAGTGCAGTTTCATTCAAGCAGCTGTAATTCTCATTAAAAATATCATACCAGAACTAGAGATTTTGAAGAATGATAACAGAATGAAATATTGCTTCCCTTGCATAATAAGAGGCTTTCTGTAAAGTAGCTTATACAGTGGACCCCCGGTTAACGATATTTTTTCACTCCAGAAGTATGTTCAGGTGCCAGTACCGACCGAATTTGTTCCCATAAGAAATATTGTGAAGTAGATTAGTCCATTTCAGACCCCCAAACATACACGTACAAACGCACTTACATAAATACACTTACATAATTGGTCACATTCGGAGGTAATCGTTATGCGGGGGTCCACTGTATATGTCACTTACCCTAATTGTATAACATATTGTGCTCCTCTTTATAAAAGTAGTTTTTGTTTGAAAGGGGAAAGGTAATGTATGCTAATTGTTGCTAATCATTAAATTTTAGGTTTTTAATTGCACTATTAAAATATGAATAGAATCTACAGTTTGGAGAATGATTGTTTTAGCATTTGAAATCATTACTTTTCTCATGCATATTCACTGTTTAATAACTATGGTAATAGTATGGCAGAATTAAATTTTTAGTGTGCATGAAAATTCTCTTAACCCTTCCACTGTCGAGACCCCTGCTCACAAACTAGCTCTCAGTGTCGAAGAATTTAAAAAAAAAAATTATTTTTTCTTATGAAATGATAAAGAATCTTTTCCCGATGGTAATGACACCAAAAGTACAAAATTTGATGGAAAACTTACAGAATTACGCTCTCGCGAAGTTAGTGGTCTCGACGATGTTTATGCATTGGCGATTTCTTCGAATTTGAGCCCTATTTTCAGCCAATTCCATTTTTCCAGTCGACCAAACTCATAGCTATTTCTCTAGAACTCCATTTGTTCTTTTGATTGAATTCAAGAACCCGTCCATTTACCGATTTCAACTACCCATAAAAGTGATCAGAAATTGGTAATTTGGCCAATTTCATACACAGTTCGAGTAAGGCCAATTTCAAAATAGGGTCCAGAATTAACAATACAAACATTCCTAGGACTAAAATAATGTTTTCTCTATTCGTTAGTCACGTCTCCAGGCCCCTCTTATATTATGCTTGCTTTCCATTTTGAATTTTTATTCACAAAAAATAGAAGATTTACTGGTATGCAGACTGCTGCATTATGTAAAAATAGTATAAATAATATCAACACATTCGTGAAAGCATATTAGATCCACCAGTTGACGTGTATTGGATATGTGGTGTGATTTGTTTACTCTTGAGCATTGGCAAAAATTGAACATTTCTGCTACTTTGAGCTCAATTTCAAGGTACTTTTAGTTAGTAAATCATTCAATATCATCTCTGTTTCTGTAATGTATCTTCCATTCTATTAAATGAGACCAAGAAAACAACAATACACCCATGAATAACATGCAAAAATACACCACAATGTCGGTGTTTTAAACCAAAAACATGGTCGGAGTTTTTTTTTTCTCATGCACTGCATGCTGTAGGATTTTTTTATACTGCACAGATTGACCACTCAGACTCATTCTCTCATATGTAGGCCTACCAACTTTCTCCTGCAAGATTTGAAGCCACTAGAATTTTGGCGTAATATTACTGGACCGACATTGGCTTGCAAGCCGTAATATTATGGGACTGACAGTGAAAGGGTTGAAGACAATCTTAACAAATGTTCAGAAATTTTGTAAAGTTCAGGACTTGTTAGCTTTGCATTCTTTCTTCTTACAGCTCATCTGCTGACCAGAAGAATTACGGGTCCAGCATCCTGCGTTATAACTCATGTAAGTGTATTACAGCAAACTCACCACAACTTGTTTACTGAAATTCACTCCACTCATTCACATGTTTTTCTGAATGTGTTCTAATTGCAGTAAAATTTGTCATTTATTTAATGTCATTACTTTTTGGAAAGCTTGTCTTATTCACCAAAAATTGGACATGGGACTCTAATAGAAGATTATTTCATGATTGGCATTTAACATCATCTTTCTTAATTACCATAGCTAAAATAAGTAACTAACACTTCTTTATGTCTGCTGTTAGTCAGATATATGGCATCCACATATTTCACTTGTTTAGAATTTTTTTTTAACATTTCTTTGCTTGTTGATGAATGGTTCAGAGAACCGACACGTTGATAAATTAGACACATGTGCAACTCTTGGGTATCTTTACTGAGGAAACGTTTCTCAATAAAGATACCCAAGAGTTGCACATGTGTCTAATTTATCAACGTGTTAGTTCTCTGAACCATTCATCTACAATCCTGTCAGACACTGCAACTTCTTGGGATCTTAATACTTGGGATTCTTCGCTTGCCTAACCCTTGGGCACGACCTACTTCCACATTGGACAAATGTGACACCCCCTACGACTGCTGCACCTCTCCTGCCTATGGTTTATAAGCTACTTCTCCGCACATATGCCATATTCTATTCAAGATTGATGGACTGACCACATCAACTCAAGGTTGAGGGACTGATTACCTCATTCTCCTCCTGTTCTTCACGATTCTCCTTAGTATGGACTGATGAAGCCACTGTGTGGCAAAAAGTTTCCTCAGTAAAGATACCCAAGAGCTGCACATGTGTCTTATTTATCATTTCTTTGCTTAAATATAATTTTAGTGTTTTTCTATTAGTATCTTGCTATGTGCGTGTTGAATTACCTATTGGTAACAGCCTGTTTATAGTAACAATGTGCATGATGTCCTGTTTTCAGTGTATATTTTTGTAATTTTTTTTATAAGTTTTCATTGATTGTAGTTACTGTCTCTTTTAATGCCATTAATGTTCTGCTATTTTGTGAAGGATTTTTTTTCAGTTTACAATTTTAGCTTCTTGTTCTTTATGTTATATAATTTGTGGCTATCATGTGCCCTCTTTCCCTTTTATCTATCTATTTTCATTCTTAACCTTTTCACTGTCTAGACCTTTGGAGTGAAATTTACTCTCATTGTCTAAATATTCCTTTCCCTCCCCCCCCTAAAAATAAAAAATCTGAAATGGTTGAGAATCTTTTTCAAGGTAATGACACCAAATGTATGAAATGTGATTGAAAATTTATTGAACTACAGTAGAGCCCTGCTTTATAGTGTTTTGCTAATATGGACATTTCAAATTACAGTGGAAACCTTGGCTTACGAATTTAATCCGTTCTGTGGACTTGTTCGTATCCTGATTTGTTTGTATGCTGGGTCAATTTTCCTCATTTAAATTAATTGAAATGCAATTAATTCGTTCCAGCTGAATTCCTGCTCTCAGAAGACATGACAAAATAACCCTAATATCAACTCTACGGTTTATATATCATCTAATATGACATAATAAACAATATAAATGAGATAGAAACCTGATATACACTCTAGAATGAATAAAATGTCATTATGTGGACAGCAGAGGAAGGAGGATTATGGTCGAACATTCTAGCTATGGAAATGTCAGAGGTGTTATAAGAGAAAACGGAGTTTGTGAGGCTAACTGAATTAGATCTGGCATACATATGACATTTGCATATCTTGGAGAAGAAATGCAGAGCGGCATATCCTGTCAGGAGTTCACACTATTCTTAACCCTTAAACTGTCCAAACGTTGATCTACGTCCACGTGCGGCAGGCTCCGAACGTAGATCTACGTTTTTTTACATGCTTTCAAATGGGGAAAATCAAGGTCGGAGCGCTACGCACGTGAACGTAGATCTACGTTTGGACAGTTTAAGGGTTAAGGACTGCTATGTACAATTTTATGTTTATCTCGCTACACTACGTATCTCCTGTGAGCTGTTTCTCCATCAACCATGTCAGCAACGCCCTTAGCTGGTGCTATAGCCTTAATAGACTCCTTCTCCTTTCTTGTTGCACGTATAGTAGACCAGTATTATTATTATTATTATTATTATTATTATTATTATTATTATTATTATAATAATCATGGGGAAGCACTAAATCCATAGTAGAGGGGCTACGCTTGTACTCAACCCGCCAAGTCCTCAACCTTTGTACATAGTCTGTGCTTATTAATCATTTCTTGCTTTAATTCCATGAAAATCATCCTCTTTTTCTTCTCGGCACTGTCCTTTGCACTTGCTTCCTTAGGATCCATGGTTAGAAGAAAGAAATCTGGCAAATTAACTACAAGAAACGAAAGGAAATCACGAGAATTCCTTGCACAACTAGGGTAGCTACGTAAGCACATGTGCACTGGTGACCATTGTGGTGGTATTGTCAAACTAAATTATACGCAGTATGTACATAGTATTATTTTTATAATTATTGTACTATTATGTATTATTATATATTATTATATACAGTGGTCCCTCGTTGTTCGTAATTAATCCGTTCCTGGAGCCGTTACTATAAACGAAATTTACAATTTACGAATCAATTTTCCCCATAAGAAATAATGTAAATACAATTAATCCGTTCCTGACACCCAGAAGTATTAAAACAAAAAAAATTTTAACATGAAATATACATGTAGTACATAAACAATACAATGGGAAATGATGAATGAAACATTAACAGCATAACACTTACCTTTATTGGAGATTCTTCTTAGTGTATGGGAGACTGGAGGAGGAGAGAGAGTGGATTGTTTATAGTTTGGAAGGGGAATCCCCTTCCATCAACACCTCAGGTACCATTTGCTTTTCTGGGGTTGCTTCTCTTCTCTGTTTCTTAATGCCACTAGGACCACCTTGAGAGTCACTGGAGTCCTGTCTCACAAAATAAATGTGGAGAGAGCTCTGTTTCTGGCGTCTCTTTAACACTTCCCTAAAATGTGTAATGAAGGTCCTCTTTGGCATTTTCTTCCAAAAGAGGCCTGTTTCGTCACAATTGAACACTTGTTCAGGTTTCAGTCCTTCACTGTTTATGTACTCCTGGAATTCATGCACATATTTTTCAGCCGCCTTGTGGTCCGAACTGGCAGCCTCACCATGCCTTACCACACTGTGTATGCCAGTACGGTTCTTAAATCTCTCAAACCAGCCTTTGCTTGACTTAAATTCACTCACTTCACCACTATTTGCAGGCAATTTCTTTACCAAATCTTCATGCAGCTGCCTAGCCTTTTCACAAATAAACGAAGTCATAAGAGTATCTCCTGCTAATTGTTTCTCATTTATCCACACCAATAATAACTTCTCAACCTCTTCCAGTACTGGTGATCTCATTTTTGTCAGCATAGTTTCTCCCTTTGCAACAACAGCATCCTTTATTTCATTTTTCTTGGCCACTATGGAACATAAGGTTGTGTAGGGTTTCTTATACATCCTGGACAGTTCGGCCACAATTGTATCACTTTCATATTGTTCAATAATGGTTTTCTTAAATTCAATCGTATTTCTCACCTTCTTTACCACAGGCTTGGCACTAGGAGCTTTCTTTGGAGCCATGGTAGCTTATTTAGTACTTGCAAGCACTAAAATAAATGGAATATTATGAAATATTTCGCTGGAGCACGCGAGGGGACCTTCGCTCACTGGTAAACAATGCCAGACTGGCTGCCGCCCTGGCTCACGCCGTACGTATGCGTCCCGGACGAACTACGACTCACGAGTCAACCTATGAAAAGCAAGTCCATGTTTATACGAAAATGCCCCTATGATTGGCAAATTTTATGATTGCCAGGAACTACGAAAAGCGGGGGACCACTGTTTTTTTTTTTTTTTTTTTTTTTTCAACAAGTCGGCCGTCTCCCACCGAGGCAGGGTGACCCAAAAAAGAAAGAAAATCCCCAAAAAGAAAATACTTTCATCATCATTCAACACTTTCACCACACTCGCACATTATCACTGTTTTTGCAGAGGTGCTCAGAATACAACAGTCTAGAAGCATACACATATAAAGATACACAACATATCCCTCCAAACTGCCAATATCCCAAACCCCTCCTTTAAAGTGCAGGCATTGTACTTCCCATTTCCAGGACTCAAGTCCGACTATATGAAAATAACCGGTTTCCCTGAATCCCTTCACTAAATATTACCCTGCTCACACTCCAACAGATCGTCAGGTCCCAAGTACCATTCGTCTCCATTCACTCTATCTAACACGCTCACGCACGCTTGCTGGAAGTCCAAGCCCCTTACCCACAAAACCTCCTTTACCCCCTCTCTCCAACCCTTTCGAGGACGACCCCTACCCCGCCTTCCTTCCCCTATAGATTTATATGCTTTCCATGTCATTCTACTTTGATCCATTCTCTCTAAATGACCAAACCACCTCAACAACCCCTCTTCTGCCCTCTGACTAATACTTTTATTAACTCCACACCTTCTCCTAATTTCCACACTCCGAATTTTCTGCATAATATTTTACACCACACATTGCCCTTAAACAGGACATCTCCACTGCCTCCAACCGTCTCCCTCGCTGCTGCATTTACCACCCAAGCTTCACACCCATTATAAGAGTGTTGGTACTACTATACTTTCATACATTCCCTTCTTTGCCTCCATAGATAACGTTTTTTGACTCCACATATACCTCAACGCACCACTCACCTTTTTTCCCTCATCAATTCTATGATTAACCTCATCCTTCATAAATCCATCCGCCGACACGTCAACTCCCAAGTATCTGAAAACATTCACTTCTTCCATACTCCTCCTCCCCAATTTGATATCCAATTTTTCTTTATCTAAATCATTTGACACCCTCATCACCTTACTCTTTTCTATGTTCACTTTCAACTTTCTACCTTTACACACATTCCCAAACTCATCTACTAACCTTTGCAATTTTTCTTTAGAATCTCCCCTAAGCACAGTATCATCAGCA